AGTGTTGGCGACATTTAAGTGGGGCCATGTTTAGCCTCCAAAATTACCGGGGATTAGTCAGTCTTTGGCCCGGACACCCTATAAAAAAAAGGTAGCTGAAATGGGTATTTACCATTGTCATGTGACGTTAAAAAAGCAATAAAATATTATATACGATATACTAAAACAACATGATAATATAGGGAGTCAAAAATTTCTTTAATGGTGTCACTAAGCAATCATGACGTGGCACAAGGGCAATGTGTTTTCAATTGAGGTATATAGAAATTCAACTAAATATCCATAATTATTAAAAAGAAAAAATGTTTATTTTTAAAAATAAAAATAAGATTTTATTTATTTGCAGTTTAATGAGTTTGATGAAACTTGAAATTTATTTGATTAACTATACCGGGTAAAATTCTCGATCTTTATTATACCTGATGCAGAACTATAGAAACCATTGATGTATATGAAAACTCTAATCTTCATTTTGAGATTAACTAACTCATAGTTGATGTATTTGTTTCAAAACGTCGTTTTAGATGATCTATGTTCATGTTTTATTATTCGAGGTTTTGATTTATATTTGTATCATGTTGACAAATTTGCCCTTATTCGTTTAGGCTTTTCACGTATTTATTTAATATGTTTTTTTACTAGTGAATGTTAAGTAACTTACACTAATCAATTATAGTTTGAACAATGGATAATGTCCAATTTTTATAACATAAAAATGGTACAAAATTCTATTTCATTTATGTTCTTACGAGTTCTACAAGGCTAAACTACATCATTCAAGAGAAAGATAATTAAACGAGGGTATTTAAGTAAAAGTATTCGTTGATTACATGTATAAAGTGACAAGCAAATTCGAGTTGATAGAGTATTTTGTTCGGTTCCAACAATTCCCATTCTTTCGTCTTTATATATTCACAATTCTTGAAAATCACAATATTTAAATGAACATATGCTAATGCAAGCATTTTATAGTTTGATATTCAAAAATGCCACTTAATAACAATAACTAAACTTTTTTTTATAAATCAAAACCAGTATTTTAATTACCCATAAAAATTTTAAAAGACTGATTTATCCCTCACAACGGTCCTAATTCTACCTTCAAAGGGCTTCGTTTGGGACTAGGACACTCGTTGTGCCAGTGGAATGACCTAAGTGTACCTAGTTCCATGGACCTTAGGTGTTGTGAAATTGAAAAGTTAGGGATATTAATGTATATAATTGTTTTAATGATTTGAATCTAAAATTTAAGCAAACCACAAGGACCACCAATGTAATTTCATTATTTTATCATATAAGTAGTCAATAAATTTTAGGAAAAATAGAGAAAGCAACCACTATACTTTTTTGTAAAGTCTAATTTGAAAATAAAGTTGAAATGACATTTCAAAATAAATCGACAGAATAAGCTAACAGAGAAAAAAGAATTAATATATGCCCAAAAAGATAAACTAAAATATTTAGTTTATTGTTATGGGTTTTTACCATTGTCTTGTGAGCTTAAAAAGGGAAAAAAACGACATCTTTAAAACATGAAAAACGATAAAATAGGGAGTTAAAAGATGACGTTAATGATGTCGTAATACAATGATGATGTGGCACAAGGCATAGGAACTTTTTCTCTAGGGCAATGTGTATAGAGAGAAGTTTTAGGATTATTTGAAGCGTGCACAAACTGACCTGAACATCCATGATTATCAGAAAAGGAAAAACCTTTGCCTTTAGAAATAAAAGTAAAGTCGTGTTTGTTAGTAGTTTAATGAGTTTGGTTGGACTTACAGTTTAGTCGGTCAGCTATACGTATATGTTTGGTAGTGGCTTGATAATATAAAAAATTAACTTATTCAGTAAACTTTCTAGGAGGAGCTTTATGCAAAAAGTCAAGCTATGTTCCTTCTCAATTAAAAAACACCCTCATTTTATCTATAAAAAAACTTTCAAACAAAAACCTTTGCAACCTATAGATAGATTAATCTACCCAGACAACTTTATTTATACAGGATTTAATGAAAAACCAACAAAATAAACCTCTAAAAAGTCTATATTTATTTTTAAACTCTAGATTCAAATGGAATACACATTTGATTTTGGTTTGGTTTATCAATCACCATTCATGGATCATGATTTCACCCGAAATCACTTTCATTTTCCTTTTTTTCATAGGTAGAGATTCGAGAAAGGTCACTACTCAGTACTCACTAGTGTTGATGATTGACGGCCCAGCCCAAGAACACTGCATTGTAAGCCCGGCCCAACCCAAGAATACTGCACTGCAAACCCGGCCCAATATTTATATGTAAAAATTAAGCCCATATCCTGCATAAGCCCATCTTTGAAATATAGATAAACAGACATCTATATAAATACGACACCTGTCCAGTTTCCTTCCATTCAACGGCGATGATGATGATGATGACGACGATGACGAAGGCTTCAGCCTCTCCCTTTCCGATTCATGTTGTGCTGCTTGTACTAGTATTTTCAAGCTCATTTATTGGAGTGACAAAGGGGGAGGAGCCACCTAACCCAACCCCAACAGCATGGCCGGAGCAATTCCACTCGATTCTGGTGATGAACAAAAGCGGAATAATCGAATTGATAGATCTGTGGTATGACTGGATCAATGGACGTAACTTCAACATCGTCCAGTATCAGCTGGGAAAAGTCCTGTACGATCTGGAATGGAACAACGGTACCTCATTCTTCTACACACTGGATTCCAATCGCGAATGCAGCTCGGCTCAGCTGGAGGTTGGAATTCTTCGGCCTAATTGGCTGGATGGAGCCACATATATCGGTCAACGCCAGGTGGATGGGTTCGTGTGTAACGTTTGGGAGAAGGCCGAATTCATCACCTACTACGAGGATGTTGTCAGCAAACGCCCCGTCCATTGGGTGTTCTACACCGGTACGTTCGATTATTTAAAACAAATTGTTTAATAATATTAATTTGGGGGTTAGGGTTTTGAATTTTGATGGATGACATGGGGGTTAGGGTTTTGAATTTTGATGGATGACATGGGGGTTGTTGAGATGCAGGAAGGGAGGCACATGTGATGACATTTGAAGTAGGTGCGGCTCTTGAGGATGCAAAGTGGCAGGTTCCTGCATATTGTTTTGAGGAGAATGGTGGCCTTAAAACAACAAAGGATGTTATGATTCAGCAGCATACAGGTTTGGAAGATTTGAGTTCCAGAGTCTCCTCAATGTAGTGATAATAATTCAGTGGTTCTGCCTGCTTATGTAGATGATTTGCTTCCATTTGAATAAATGCTCCCTACATTTGTTATCAAACATTCAATAAGTTTTATTCATCAAACTGTTAGAACAAAATGTTCAAATATGTAGGGTGATAAATACGAATCTTATCATAGCAAATATAAGGTAAAAATGATCAAAATAGCTTCACTTTTTAGTCATTTTATTGATGAATTTCCATTTTGATCAGATTTTACGCCCTTCACATTATTTTTCAGTGTAATTTGCATAAAGAACTTTTTTCCTTTTTTTAATATGAAAATAAAGCTATATAATGCAGATGCATAACATAAACTCTAACTAAAATGGGACTTTGGTTCCAAAAATGTGAATGTGGTTGAAACATTAGTTATTTTGGTCAATTAAACAGCGTATAAAATTCTCAGTAATACATCTGATGCTTGCATTTGTAAAAAATGTTCACAAGTTAAGAAAAAAAAACTAGATAAACCCAATATTAAGGGCTGAATAATGAGAAATTTGCTAAACAAGAAACCATTAATCCCACATTTTTTTTATTAACCTGGATATCCAACCCGTTATGCGAGCCGACTAATCCCAGAACGACCACCTGCTTTGCAGATAGTCCGGAGTCACCGCATTTGAACCTCCGTGGCCACAAGGGGATTTTTATTCTTCCTTGGATTTGAACTTGGAACCTCCTGATACTTTTGACCTTTGGAGCCAAGCTCAAACCAATCCGACACCATCTTTGTGGTTGTTAATCCCACAATTTAGACTCACATTTCACAAACCTATGTCACAAGTTATAGCCCCAACAAACATAGGGGCACACAACTGATCACAAAGGTCCATGATTGCTATCAACTTACTAAGAAGAGGTTTTTTTTTTCTCTAACTTGCATATATTTCTACTAATCACAAAGGTCCATGATTGCTACAACTTACTAAGAAAAGGAGAGTAAATTTGAGAAATAAACATATTATCTTGTTTTGGTTTAAATTTGGGTTTTGTTGGTTATTAAAATTTGGGGTATGAAAGAGAAGGATGCAGGATAAGGAGTTGAAAAGGCACCACAAGTTCATCCTCCACCCATCCATTTCTTTTTCCTTTTTCCATAAAAATAGAAACCCCAATAACAAGGATTCTTTCCAAGTCACAAACCCAAAAAACCAAACAAACTGATAAAAACTTGGATGTAATTTTGGAATTCTTTCTTAATGAGACGGGATAGAACCACTCGCAGATACATGACATATTCATCAGGAATACATACGTGTTACTCATCATGAACAACAACATCCATATTCACCATTAATGATGAAAATTCATCCCGAAGAAGGATACATGGCACACTATGCACACTTCCCAAGACAGTTTTCATTACCAAATAAGTAAGCATTAATACCAATCTTTTGGGATCAATCTGATTGCTAGTCAAACAAGTCTTCTGTTGTCTGCATAAGAGAAAGGTTATACAGATGGCCACATATAATGCTATGGATTGGGTTCCCAGCTGCACCTCAAGAAACATAAACTACAGGCAAGCAATTATTATGATCATCAACAGATAACCCAAAGTTCAGGGCTTATCAAATGGCCTAAACCAAAACTAGGAATATCCACCTAAATCATAATACAAAAAAAGCTTTAAATCAAATGTAAGATTGTCTTGTTTCATTTTGTCCAATTTTACCTAGTTTTAGCTTCAGAGAATTGATCAAGAATCTTGGATTGTTTAAGATCTTCTACACATGAATACATGATTATGTCAGCTTACTCATAATGTGGCTTGTTTTGACCAATTCAACTACTGGGTTTTGATCACAATGCTAATTCTTCAATAACTTGTGCAGATCTTCCATTTCATTACAACTCATAAAGCCAAAAGGAAGGATAAGCTAGAAGGCAATGCAGCAGCAGCATCCCTGATAATGATGAAACTACATCTATAGATAATGCTCTGGGAGATTAAGATCATCTTATCTCGTGTTCTACTCATCTCCGTTTAAAAGAGGTAACATCACAGTCAGTAATCTACACATTCAAAGAAGTTCAAGAGACCAAGTAATTTGCATTTAGCCTCAATAAAAATGACTTTATTAAAGTCTTCAATTTCTAACATCCTATAACCATTTTGGTCAAAGTAGCCCTGGAAACCTTGCTTCACTTGGTCTGTCTGTGATGTTTTTGGTCAACATGGAACTTTAGAATCTACATGTTAGATACCCATCAGTTGAATAATTGACATTTCAATAATGAAAAGGGACTTCATTGTTACTGATTTGTAGTTTATCGTCTATGCAAATGAGGTTTACATCAATAATAGCTGCCCAGGGCCAGAAATATGTCAAACTATGCTGGAAAAAGACTAATGTTGTAAAGGGGAAGTCTAACAATGTTTCACATCTCTTCCATATCCTGCATTGATAAATCATTTTTATCAGGCTTTTCTGCTTCATGTCGATGTTATCCAAGAAACTCATTTTCGAACTTCAATCACTCACTTTACCTCCTATTCCTATATATATCACTGTTACGTTAATCATACAAACCAGTACTCATCTAAGAAACATAAATCATCGTTTCTATCCAATTAAGATGGTTACAGTTGTGAAAAAAATTGGTGTAATCAGCATCATGATGATGTTCCTTGTTGCAACAGTTGCAGGTGACGTGCACCCCAATATTCCTTGCTGCGATGGGGAGTACACGTCCTGCTGCAAAACTACTGGCGATGTTGCTAATACTACTACTTATGGAAAGGAAGTCGGTCGTAAGGGTGGTGTGAACAGAAACGCTCTTTTTGTTGTTCCAATTCGTCCTTGATCGACCCAGTTGCTGAAATAATTTGGATTGTGTTTCTTTTCTTGCATACTTTTTCCTTTCCGTTACTTCAAGCTATTTAGCTTGTTGGCTTCCCATCTGTCTCGTTACAATAAAGTTCCAACACTATGAAATGTCTGAAACTGAGTGTTTTAAGGAGCTTCCTGAATCATTATATATTCCTCACTTGCATATTGATTATAGCATACAAAATGGCCAACTAATCTTTGTTGGTCTAGTGATAAATGTATCAAATTGAAACTAATAGACAACTAAATTATATGCCCACTGATAAATGCATCAAATTTGTAACTTTAACAAAGTCTACAATCTCATATAGTTTTCAGAAATATAACTCAAGTACCTGAAAAGTGACATCAAATCAGTATCCAATATCATCAGGATCACCAACATATTCAGCGATTTGCTCTAATCGTACATTAAGTAAGGCATGTGTGTCTGCATCACGAACAACTGCGGTTTCGTTATCCATATCCTTCTTCTGTAAACTCCCATAAACACCCTTATGCCTACCATACAAAACAAGAACAGGTCCACCACGCCGAGGGAGTGCAGTTTCAAGAAAATCTTGTTCCACCCCTTGAATAAGCTCCCTACTATTGTCCATAGAAATATCACAAGTAGTTGGACCTACAACATCCACAATCACACCCTTCTGCAGATACAATCTCCCTCTTTTTACCTCCTTACTGATAATTCTAACTCTAATGTGACTGTTTAACCAAGACACCGAAGAACTCGCACTGATTTCGTGTATTTCCAGACTCCTTTTACTATCATTACGACTACCCGCTGAATCTTTACTCTTTCTGTCACCTCTACTCGACCCCTGCTCCTTTCCCCTTATGCTAATCTCTTTAAGCTTCTTTAAGCATCTCTCTTCTTCAACAGAACCTAAATCAGCAACATCTCGGGCATGAACAATAACCTCCTCCTGGCTTCTTGAAAGCTTCAAAATAACCTGATCACCACCCGCAATCACTTCCACAATCCTACCTCTCAATCCAGCTTCATTCCCTCCCACTACCCTAACATCCTTTCCCACATGGATCTTCTGTCGTCTTTCCCCATTACTAACACCTTCTTGTTTGGTATTTGCAGCTCTGTTATTGCTATCATTGGTTGGAGGAACGGGGAGATCATCAACAAACCCTAGCCCTTCTTTCCCAGCTCTTCTCTTATATTCTACAACCTTAACATCCTCTTTAGCGTTCTTTCCTATGCCTCTTCCTTCATACCATCCATAACCTTTTAACAAAGCAGCTGCAAAGTCCTCCACAGGTACGTCTTGAAACTCATCCATTCCTCTATCCTCCGGCAACCTGTCTAGATCGTTTTTCAACTTGTTTAACATCAAGTTGTCAATCGAAGAAGTCGATTGAAATCTGTCGGGTTTCGGTTCCGGATCGGGATCGGATTCTTTCTTGGCACGAAGATTGAGACCATAAGTGATGTTAGGGTCGGTGGGCTCGACGGCAGAGTCGACGACTTCGAACTCGAGATTGGGGTCGTCGGATTTGACGGGCAGATCGATTATCCTCATCTTCTTCTGAGGTCTCCATTCGTTGGAAATCGGAGCAATAACATGGGTTTTGGAATTGGAATCGGCTAGGGTTTTGGATGGATCGAATTCTGTGACGAATTCTCTTTTCACAGACGACGATGATTGATCTCCGGAAGATTTTAAGGTGGGTTTTGGGGGTTTTGATGATGAAAGAGAAAAGGATAGTTTCATGGTATCTTGCGAGCAGGATGAAGATGGTGATGGTGGGGCGTGGAACCAAAGAGGTCTTTATATTCGGATCGACGGGAGCAATTTCCTCTTCGGATTACTATTAGGGTTCAACCGGCATCCGGCAATTTTTCAAACCAAGATGTCTCTTTTTTACTACATTAAAGTTTCTTAATCCATAAACTTTAGCATATCATAATGTTATTTTTTATAAATTCTTATAAAAATAATAATAAAATTTGGGTAATTGTGGGTATTATTTGGATTAGCTTACCTGTATCGACTAATTTTTCAGGAAATTAAGGATTATTTTAAATCATTGCAAATGAACCTTAACAGCTACAAGGTATTTGGCAGGATTTGGGTTCGATCCCAAGGAATTGAGGTGTCCACAAGTGATCTTAGACGACCGTGGTTATAACATAAATTATAGACAAATTCCAATCATACAAACTTATCGACATGTAAAATATTAATAGAAAAAGGTATTTAAGTAGACAAAACAGTCATTTGTTGAAAACAATTGTAATTTAAAACCTTAATTAACACAAATTTGTCTCAATAATTGAGTGGGAGACCAAGAACTAAGGAATAAAATCTTATAAATATGTGATTTTGAAATTTCATGGGATGGTTGATATTTCATGGAATTTCATATAATTTATATATAATAATATTTTAAAATATATTAAAAACATTTGTTTTTTAAAAATCAACTAAAAAAAATTGAACAGTTTTGTAATTATTTATAATTTGGTTTTATAAATTATTTATAAACAATGAAATTCAATTTCATTTCAAATCAAACACATTTGTTTAGTACGCTCTTGAATTTGTATTATATAAATAAAAATAAATAATAAAAACTAAACATTAAAATCAAAATTTATTTTGTTATATTGCATGAATACCTTTCTATTGTATAAATTTATATACACATTGGTTTAATACGTTCTTGAATTTGGTAAAATATATTCTTGAATCGGGTAAAAATACATTATTTTTGTGGTGTAGACTGTAGAAGATGTTAAGTTAGATACGACATCGTTTCAAAAGCTTTACAAGGTTTCCTCCTTTATCTTTCTGAATGACATTAACAGTAACAATAATGGCAATTCCTGCTTCTGTATGGGCACCTGTATCCCCTTCTTGTCTCTCTTCAACATCTCTCATTCCCATTCATCTTAAAACCACCATAATTTCATTTTCAACTTCAATTCAATCTTCATCTCTTCATCGCTCAAATTCAATCAACCTCCGCCCCTCCACAAAACCCAACACTTTCATCTGCAACAACAGTTCCTCCACTGCCTCCACAACCACTACCAGTTACGAGGTAATTTGCTAACAACAAATCATTTCATTTTTCATAAATCCCCATGTGCCCAAATTTGTAGGGTTTGTTTCTATGCGAATTTTGCTTTCCGAAATCACTTATCATCCCCAATTATGTGAAAACCAGTTTTGCTACTTTAAATAACTGTTAAAGTTTCGTAAATTACAAGTATATGCACCAGAATTTGGAATATCCCAAGTGTATTGAAGGGATTCAGAATGGAAAGCTTCGGAGATAGATGAACTCCTTATCCATTAGTGGTTGTGTTTTGATTTTGGATGTCGGATTTTTATATATAAAAATTGGTTACAACGTCAGAAATTTCAGTAACTACTATAATGGCAATAATTGGTTTTAAAAGGGTATGTGAAAAACTGATGCAAATGTGTTGCAGGTTATTCACATGGGTGTTCACATCTGCATCTTGAAATGGATTTCTTAGTGATTCATATATCAACCTTCCTTTTTAACCTTTCATTCTTACCTTCTCAGGATATTTAGTTTTTTTATTTGAACCTGCAACTAAGAATATATGAATACAAGTTTCACAATCAAGGATGAATGATAAAACAATGGAATCAGATTGATATATAAACCTTTGTAACTACAACAATCAATAAATAGGTAATTTTAGTTTGTAAACTTGAGCTATATACAGACCATCAAACCTGTATATATGATCGTAGGAATCTCTAATCTCTCTGTAAGCGCTCTTTTAGAGAGAAATCGAGGCATTTCACGCGTTCTAACCATTCGACTCTTAAAAGACAGAAAATGGACTGTAGTTGGGGATGTAGGGGGCAAGCATTCATCATATAAATCAACATAGTTGAAAAGTTGGTCAATTTCTGATGCATTTGACAGTTTTCAGATGGTTCAGATGAGGTAGAGTTGAGATTGTTGCTTGGAGATGAAAGCATTCAGAGCTCGAAAGATGTACTTGTTGATGCCGACGAGAGTTTTTTAACGATCAAAATGAAGCAGGATGGATCATTTAGAACTGCCATGGAAATTAGCTTGTATGACAAGATAAAGCCAGCTGAAACAATATGGTATGCCCCCATCATCTAGAAATCCTTGATTTCTAAACGCTTTGATTTGGAGCTAATTACCCTATTAACCAGACTGATAACTGTTAGAAAACTAGTTGAATCTTCTTATTAACAACAAAGTTCATGCGTTTCTAGGCTGTTAGATGATGATCAACTGGTTGTTAATTTGAAGAAGCAAGATCCAGATGTGAAATGGCCTGACATCACGGAAACATGGGAGTCTCTGACGGTTGGAGTATTGCAACTTCTTAAAGGGGCGTCGATTTATTTAGTTGGGGAGTCTTCAGAAATCAACTATAAAGTTTCTAGAGAGCTGGCAGTTGGCCTTGGGTACGTTCCACCTGAGAACCACGAGGATTGCTAAGATTTCTTTTTCGAAAGTTATAATACTAGAATTACCTTTTTACCCTGTTCATATGCTTCTCAGGTATACACCACTCGATACAAAAGAGTTGCTCGAAACTTTTACTAAGCAAACAGTTGATTCATGTGAGTGATTTCCCTGTATCCATTGTGATCAAGAACCATTTTCAGGATTTTGAGTTCCTGTTAAATAACACGATTCTATCTATCTATGACCTTTTTACAAATTGATACTTCTGAGTATTAACAAGTGATAAATTCTATTAGTGATTGCAGAAGGGTCAAATGCTGTAGCAGAAACAGAAAGTGCCATACTGGAAAGCCTAAGTAGGTATGCAATGCACTTCTCCTGAAACCTCTTTTTCTTTTTCTGCTTAATAGAATTTTATGTTATATGATGGAATATATTGTCGCCATTTGCAGCCATATCCGTTCAGTTGTTGCAACGATAGGAGGGCAGCATGGTGCTGCTGCTAGTGGTGATCGATGGCGGCATCTTTACTCAGGATTTACAGTCTGGCTGTCACAATCGGAAGCTAAAGGTGATGCCTTCGACTTCTCATTATTTTCTTTTCAACACTTTGCATTCTACTTATGGAAACACGATTTGCTCTCTAAAAACAAACCGAACCAACCCAATAATTGGTTTTAAAATGGTAAAAGAATAGAGGGGCCGGTTCAAATAAGATGTCAAATATCGTGAGAAGGGAAGCTTCATATGTGCATCCATTGAAAAATCTATTTGAAGATGCATATGTGAAATGTCGTTACAGATTATTCATATGGGTTCATAAGCTTCACTGTGTTTGTGCCATGCATTTGGTATGCTGCAGGACTGGACAGGATTGAGTGAGACAGGCGTATGAAAGAATTTCTGGAAGGTTTTAGGGTTTCAATTTGACGTTGGTAGTATAGTAATTTACCAAGCTTGTCTCATCTCCCTGATTTTTGTTCCACCTATGAAAAAGAATTTTGTCCCACTCAGTCCTGTCCAGTCAGAGTCTACTTGTTGCGCCAAATGTTGAACAAGAAGTTTTTGTATTGCCCTGTCATGTACTGTCCTGCTACTTGCAGCAGAAATCAATTTTATGAAAACAAATCTCGAAAGAGAAACAGGAACGGCATTTGTTCTTAAGTGTATGCTTCTTTGGTTGGTATCAGATGAAGCAGCAGCAAAAGAAGAGGCCAGGATAAACATTCAGAGTGGTAGTAAGGGCTTCTCCAATGCAGACGTGGTGGTGAAGCTTAGCGGTTGGGACAGCGACTACTCCAAAACCGTAGCACAGGCCACGCTGAGCGCCCTTAAACAGTTAATCTTGTCGGATAAAAAGCTTCCAGGTGCGTATTTGCATGCCCATTCTTGTTCTTTTCTCAGCTGAACCTTGAATTTTGATTAGAATAAATGGGATGTTTTTGAAGGTAAGAAGGGTCTTTATATACGGCTGGGATGTCGGGGGGATTGGCCGAACATCAAACCTCCTGGCTGGGACCCTGCAACTGGAACGGGTGCTGTCTAAACCTACATTATATTCGACACTCCAAAAAGCTTCCGCCCACTCAATTTTTCTCTCGTTTTTCGTTTTTTTGCCGATGTTGATCCTAATGGATAGAAACAAGCATTTCTATATACCATTCCATATCTGCACCTCTTGTATGGTCACCTTGTTTTCAGTCTGATGCAAAAGAAGATCCAAAAAGCATAAACCAAATTACAAATGAGTACATATATATACTGATATACACACATGCATACTAAGGATAATGTGATAATAAGAGTTCAGATGAGAAGCGTAAAAAAAAATTTGGATCATTGATCATTTGAAACGATCTCTCTCTCTATATATAGGGGGTATAGGGGAGGTTCAGGAGAAAATCCAAAAAAATAATAAATCGAAAAACACTGTATTTTTCTTGTTAATTTAACATGCATATTCATATAGTTTCATTCATTTTCTTATTTTCCATTTCTTTAGCATTTCCCATTTTCGATTTAAAGTTTCTTGTCAAATGTCAACTAGTTCATTAGTTTAAACTTGTCAAAAACAATTTCTTTACGTCACTTAAATTATATTATTATAATATGTAATAAATTTTATAATATATGTACTAAATATTTTTATAAACTTTATATATAATAAAAATAAATGATATCCAAACAGGAAAGGATATCATATAAGCTGAAGTTGTTCAGTTAGCATGGATGTCAAGCTTGCTGTGTAGCACCAGAACCACACACCAACAACAAGTCTTGATCACAAGTTAATATCAATTAAATCAAAAAGCTTCTCGACATAACCAGCCATTTCGGTCCACAATTGCCAACAGTCGACGGAATTCGACAACGGCAATGAGAACGTTCAAGGTCATTGACACCATAAGCAACAAATCGACAAACAAAAGCTAGCCGCTTTACTAATTCAAATCCTTGCATGCATGATTACACATCCAACCAACTTATAACAAAAGTATCGCCAATTTTAAAGCAACTAGTTTATGAAGCGTGATCAAAACATAAATCTACTGGCATCAGTTGCATACGAAAACAAACGTCAAAGAAGGTTTCAAGTTTTTGAACTTTTTCAACCTTCTTGCACTTCCTTCTCTTCCGACAAGCTTGCAGAAGTCGCAACATGCTGCAGACAACAAAAAGAGAACGAAAATTGAACATGCTGGCAAACTCAACATAAACAAAAGAATCTGCATAAAGGATTTGACGCTTCCCTCTGGAGCGCCCACATGGTACCAGTCCCACAGCACAGGTGGTGGTGCCTGGAGTCGAACCCCAGACTTTCCACTTGTTCTAGAAGGATGCACACCTCCTTACCCGTTAAGCCAATGCCACAGAGAACATCACCGAAGATTCAGATAAAGAATCCCATGCCATGGCCCAATAAACAAAGAAAGAGAATGTAAGTTGAACTTCAATCGTTCCAACGATCCATAACATTGGGTGCGGTGTGCATAAATTGGTTTCAAACTCTCGATTCGTTCATTTCTAGGTTTTAAAAAATTCAGTAACAGTTTGGTCCCGTCAAAAACCTATAAGATCCATAACTAAGAACGGGTCCTAATTTAATTTAATTCTTTTTAAATCTTCGATTTGTGTAAGAATGTTTAATCAGCAGCAATCGTCAAGACTATAAAGAATCAAAAGTTAAGTGAATCACACCTTGCACTGGAGGCTGGATATTGTAGACCTTAGTATCTGATCGCCAACTACAGATCGCAACTTCCTAATAAACTCTTCACGATTCATTTTCTTGGCCTAAAATATCGCTATAAAAGATGAGCACAATTTCCGCAAATAAAAATAGTATTAAGCTGAAAAAATGTGCGATTACTAGACTTACCCTAAAAGATTCATAAAAGATATGCAGCAATCTCATATCATTTGGGGCTACTTTAGCAGAGATAGCTTCAAACAACATAGAAAACGGCATCCATGGAGATTTAGGATCTTTAGGTGTGCTCGAACCAACACTAGGAACCTTCTCTGAAGGCGGCAGCTTCATTGCTTCCGATGGTAGACATTGTTTCCCCTAAAAGGAATATTAACATCAAGTTGAAAGCTAAAGATAATGTTTAATTCAATTTTGTATTTATGATAAAAAGATGAAGGGCTCACCGTTTTACTCGAAGAAGAATCCAGGTGTAAAGGTCTATGTGCATCATGGGTCGTAGTGACTCTTGAGATATCCAACCGACTTTCTTCGGCAACAAGATTTCCTGCAATAACATTAGTAAAAATGTTTCATTTTTTCTTAAATAAGTTTCAACATTTTAAACTGAAGCAAGTACCACCCAATAATATAGAACCTGCTATCTATCACCATGTTCTTCAATATTAAAGGAAATAAATTCTGATACATTTTTCATACCCTACTTCAAAAAGCAATTTTAAACCATCGAACTTGACTTTAAGTTGCAAACTAACTATTGTTCTTCAGAAAAATGCCCAAACCACCATAGCTTGCAAAAAATACTTGGCACTTCAATCAGAATCAAGCATTCCTTCAACGTGTAGCATTTTCGTCTTCTTTTTGCAGCAAGATGCATGGTTGTTTGCTACGAAAAGCTTAAGCACGATGGTTCAAAAACTCGATAACTCCTACCATAAAATATTAAATCCAGAAAGTGATTGGAGATGAACAGTTGAGGGGTATGAATTTACAACCTTTGATGGCCGGAGACATCTTGAAACTGACTATGCATTCCGGGTAAATGTGTGTATTCATATTCATGTTCCAAATGACATAATGATTTGGATTTTGCTGATCGTCAACACCACTATCAAATTGCTGATCGCTTGGATAAAACTGTTTGGACCCAGGATGAAGAAGTTCCGTATTGCCCAAGATCACACGGCATAATACCATATGCCTTATTCCTTTTTCGTCAACATCACAAATTGTAGCACTGTAGCAAGTGCAACAACAAAAGATTAACCCTTCAAGAAATCACAGTAACAACCAAGGAAAAGCAAAAAAGCAAGAAACATAACATTTTTATTCAAACCTGCTGTTGGCAGACTGAACAGCTGCAAGATGAATTCCGTAGCCATACTTCCCCAGTTTTGGCCCATTATGCCCATAAAAAAACATGCTAGATGGGGCATTTCCTGCAGCAGCAAGCCAAGCAAATTGCACATTCGCCTTGCCACGTAGCTTTTGGGTAATTTCAATCTGCTTCTCGAACAGTTCCAACCTTGCTTCCACTAAGCTACTAGAGCATTTCTTGACATCAACAATGTCAACTTTCATGTCGTTTAGACCAGTAACAAACATATTTTTACCAGTTTCCACATCCACGGTTCCGCAATTGGTTCCAAAAACTGGGGAGACATACTCGTCACTCTTTTGAATTTCATCAACAAGGTTATTATTGTCATTCATATCAACATCACAGTTGTCTCTTTGACCTTCATGGTCAACTTTAATCTTCTTATAATTCGACTCACCCACACATTCCTCAAGCTTATTGTTATTTAATCCATTAAGCTCAATCTCCAAATGCAACTTAATTTCAGGGGTCACAGAAGACTCGCCAACATCTAAATCCTTTTGTGCTTCCGACAAGTTGCATTCATGATTACCATGACAACTTGAATACAACTCAGGGAAGACACAGTTAGAAGCATCATCAATCCACGCAATTGGCTTCTGGGCACCAGTTTTCAGATCTACCTGAATCATATACAAAATGTCTAGCATGAAATGACACCCATTAGTCTTCACGTCAATTGCCACCTTTTTTGAACGGAAGTCTTCTTTGACCAACTCAATGATTTCTTGGGAGAAGTCAACCCACTGACCATCTTGAGAAAACAGCAAGCGTTGCGGCAGTCCACTCTTCATAAAATTTGAGTAGTTTTTCACTAAAGTTTTCCTTGAGCAAGAGCAACATTTGCTTTTGCATTCGTTTGCTTTCTTTCTCTTTCCAAGCTTGTTCAATGCAGGCTTCACATTCACACCCGATGACTTGTTAGCACCAACTATCTGAGCCCTGCATTGGGTTACTATTTTCCTCTTTGAATCAACAATAATCCTACGACCATTTGTTGAGACTTTCACCAACCTCGATGCCATTTTATCTACACGGTTATTCTTATTTACACTAGTCAGCCTAAAAGTTAACTACTCGGGGTAATGTACAATCTATTAGAACTAGATGCTGAAGAAATTGCATGTCCTGCATAAAAGTTCAAAAAGAACAACACGATGAATTTAAATTATACCGTGCCATCCAAATCATTGCATGCAAGTTAGCAACATAACAGCACAAAAAGTAGGCAGAAAATTATTAAATGCATTCATATCCTTTTTAAGTTTTTCAGATGACAACTCACAAACTAAAACCAATATCCTTGAAGACAAGAATAGCATTTCAAAAAGTAACATGAACAATTAAGTGAAGAGACCTTTAAGATGAAAATAAGAATGCCACATTCGATGTTTTGGATTTGTAACATATTTTACATGCATGTTGTGTATGAGATCATGAGCAGCGGTCAGTATACTGTAGATAAAGGGTGATTCGAGGAAAATTTGAAAGAGAATCGGCGAACAGACTTGATCATGAAGGTCAACAAGTGAATAGCGCATTATAGAAGGCAAGAGTTAACCGATTAGGTGTCAAAAGGATTAGTATAAGAAATTGATACCATGGAACATACCTACGATAAAAAAAGAATTAAGCAGAATAAAGAAGCATTAAGCACACTGCCCCTAGGTATGTAATGGTCGAGAATCATAAAAGACTCAAGAACGATGATATTGTTGTTTAGATGAATGCATAAGAAAGAAGGTGAATCGGATTCACTAGAGAAAGCTAAAACAGTGATGACCTGATGGAATAAAAAAAGAGTCATTTATCTATGTGAGGATGCGATCAAAAGGTCAACACCATAAGAATGTAAGGTGATGATCAAAAGAATTCATTAAAGAAGTATATATTATGAGGATCTTACACCAAAACTCATTACAAGCAAGCTTGCTTTTACATGATGTAAAAGTGACATTGCGACAACGACGTTATCAACCAAAAAAATGCATACAAGCTTATTATCAGCAAAGATCATAAATTAACAATGGATACGAAAGACTTTTGGTAAATCAAAAAACATAATCTTTCCACCGCATTGAAAATTATGTTTAGCTTGGCACTTTAAGGAAAATATTCAATATATACAACAGAAATAAAACAAACAAACTATTTGGACCAAATCAATTGCTTTGATATTTTTCTAATGATGATGATAGGAAAAGAGATATTTGACTAGAAACTTACCCAAAAAATATGGACAAAGAAGGAATATAATATACAAAAAAACAAAAAGATGATAACCGTCCAGAAAAACAATCACAATAATAACCAAAACGTTCCAAAACAACACCCGATGCAACTATTGAAAGCATACCATGTTTTGAAATCAACTTCACCTCCTTATTCGGCCGTCTTCCTGCCATCACTTGAAGTCGACAAATTTCTAATACTATCATATAGTAATTACAGCTCTAACCAATACTACACTAAAACACAAATGTTTCATCAGAATTCAGAACTAAGAAAAAAAGAACAGACATCAATAAAAAAAAATTGTTTCAATGAAAAATTTGTATATCCTCACACCATCACCATCCAAAAAAAATAGTTCACATTTGAATTTCAAGTGACAACTTAGCTGTGTTTTATCTTCAAAACCAAAGAGAACTATTTTCATACATCAAAAAAGGTGAATAACTACATGTAACCAACCATATAAAGAGAATCAAAATGCAAACTTTTTTGAATAAAATTGCAAAAATATCAATGTCAAATTCAAAACTACCGTATTTAAACCAAACCAACTCAAAGCATTCCACTCGAAAGAAGGTAGGGCGGTTCTTTTCAAAAAGACCCCAGTTTATAGTTGCTGTATTTGAATTCCAAAAATAAAAAAACAGACTCGCCTTATCAGACAGAATCAAATAATTTAACAAATGCTTTGCAGTTGGTTAAATATACAAGTTAGTGTTCCAAAAATTCACCACAAAGACATCAAACTTGTGTTTTCATCCACTCCACTTCAACCTAATATTGATTCAAGGCCAAGTGCCCTAACCTCTGAATTCCTATTTCCAAACATAACCCCACAAATGAGAAGTGGTAATAAATTAACAAGCAGTCATATCATCACCTTCTCACAACAAATATGTATATCCTTCCCACTTCAAAACCAGTTCATCTACAAAGTTCTTATTTTTCAATCACTTCTTATGTAACAAAGTATGCATTACATATCACATATAGATGTTCCCACTAGTACTTCTTTCACATCCATATAACTATTTCAAGACAGGTCTCCGTAAAATATCAACAGTTGTTGAAAGACCTTCATGCATTCCCTCCATTATAGGTGTTAAATCCTGGTAACTCTGGCGTATTTTATTTACTTCTCATTCAGGGATTGAGAAAATATTTTAAGAACACAAATTCATAAACAGAAAAGCATCTAAACATGCATTTCAAAGTCTGGTATGTCAATTATTCTTGAACGTATAGAGTATATTTCCGATCCTTCATACACTACTTATGAGGCTTGTGAACCCACACATGTATTGATCCAACTCATACATAAATTATAGCCAAATAATTCACAGAGACACATAAATTTTTGAAAGAACAAATGCAAAACATTTCAGAAACAGACATACGTTTATTTATTTTTTTAAGATCGAACAAAATAGAACAGAAACAAGGGAAAAAGGTTCTCTGACAACAAATCAGTAAAAGAAATACTTCAGATTTCATAAAATCTCGAACAATCGATAACCGACATATGCTTTGACCAAACTCACAAATAAGTGATCTGCATAAGGCTTTCATACAAGGGGCATACTTTATTTTTTTTATAAAAACAATAAGAAAGAAATCATCCTTAGACGTCGAAAATCTCAGAGAGCCCATTAAACCAGTAAAGTTTTGATGGAAATGAATAAAAAACCAGTACTTTTGCAATCAATCAAAACACAGATCAACAAATCGGTTCAAATGCCACTAGAAAGCAAAAATTAACACCGATCTGTTAAAGACTAACGATGATCTTAAATTCCAAAAAACAAACAACAACATAAACTTACCCTTTTAAAGAAGATAAACAAACTATAAAGGCTGAAGCAAAATCAGGAAATTTAGATAGATTTTGATGAAGATGATCAATCAATAGATGGATCGATCGGTGTGTGATGAAGTCGCCGTCTCTGAAAGGCTCAAAAATGTAGGATTTTGGGCAGAAAGGGAAGAGACGGCGACGATATAGAGGCGATGACTTTGGTGTTCATTAGAATTCTTATATTAGGGTGTGAATTGGTTGAAAGATTATAGCTTGGTGAAAAAGTAATATATGAGAGAGAAAGGTCGGCGAGATTCGTATTGGCCTGTTCGCAGAAAGAGGGATGAAGAAATGAAGGAAGGGACGTAACTCTAGGGTTTCAGATAAGCTCACAAGTCAAGTAGCAACGACACAACTTATTTATTCCTTTTTTTTTTCTAAATAAATATAAAATCAATTTTTTTAAACACTTATTGCACTACAGCTTTTTTTTAATAATTGATTTACGTCGTATTGGTTAAGATTTTATAAAGATGTAGTGAAAAATCGATCTTTAAGTTTGAAGCTAAATATTGTTAAAGTTTTTATGGTTATTGAGGTTCATTTGTGATGACTCCAGATTATGTATTGTTGTTCGGGAAATTAGTCGGTTTATATGTAAGTTGATCTGAATAATGGTTGTTAGAAGAAGATCGTTTGTGTTTATTTATTTTATGAAATGGCAGATTGCATGAAAAAATAACGTATTTTAACTTGATTCCTATTTTGGGTAACATACTTCTTGAACTTTCATTTTAATACCTAAAATGTAAAGTTTTAAACATTTAAGTACTCGGGTAACCGGTTACCATGTTGATGTGGCGAGTGATGAGATGAAATTGGGATGAATAGCAAATAACACTGTGTTGGATATCACATCACTCGCCACATTAGCATGGTAACCGGTTAATGCTTCATTCGGGTACTTAAATGTTTAAATATTTAAATTTTAAATACCAAAATGAAAGTTTTTGAAAGTAAGTTATCCAAAATAGGAATCAAGTTAAAGTACGTTACTTTTTCATACAATTTAACCTTTATGAAATTAGTTTGAGAGTAATGTAAATGAAAGTGAGTGTGAAAATATTGTTGTTTGGTTTTTAAGTTAGGTTTGAAAGATTATTATGAAGATCGATATCTAATGTAATGATTTCAGATACAACGATAATTAATTTGTATCTTATTAAGTTATTCATAAAAGAATAAAAATCAATGTTATTATTATTAAAATTTAACAAATTACACAGCTTAGATAGTGTCTAATTGAGGAAATTAGCCAAATTAATCATTTCTCTCTATGATTTATTCAAATATCACTATCTATGCAAATCCTAGCGCCCCCGCTTGAAGACTTAGCTAAAAGAAAGAAAAAAAATCAGATTCAACCCAGGTCCACAATTGCGACAGTACAACGTACGGAGGTATGCAAGTTAGGGAGGTGGATTTGCATAAGGAAATAATTATAAGACAATTTATGTGAGAAAAATGAATATTTTAAACAATTTTTCTTTTAATTGTTATTTTACAACAAAATTACACAAATTAAGATAATTTATATGGTATAGTTATAGTCTAATTCCGTTTGTTGTGGTAAATTTAACATATGACAAGAAATGGGGGTGAAAATGCAAACAGCAGAAGTTTGGGGCTAAATTGGAAAAGAAACAAGAAATTTAGGTGAAAATGCAAAAAGGAAAACTTTGGGGATGAAAAGCGGAAAAAACGAAAAACATTAAACTTGGCCCATGCAGGTCTCGAACCTGCGACCTTCGCGTTATTAGCACGACGCTCTAACCAACTGAGCTAATAGGCCTTGTGTTTTAGTCGTAATATTTCTTACTTAAATCAATATCTGACAAATATAATTAACAAAATATGTACACATACACATACATATATATATATATATATATATATGTGTATATATAACTCTCTTTTAATACCAAAAAAAAAAACTAATAGAAAACGTTATAATATCCAATACGTCGATCTTGAGCCCAATTTTAAAACACGAGTGGAAGTTACATTTAAAATGTTTGATTGTGATGATGTAGATAGATATAAGTGGACCCTTTATTTTTATCCAATTTATTAACGCATTATGTACGTAATGGCACTTATAAAGCCCAATTTTATAGATTATTTTTCGGATCTAAATATTATTTGAGGTTGATAAAGGGTGTTACTGCTGAAAAAGGAGATGACCAAACATTTAAGACATTTCAGTCATCTACAACATGGTTCATGCATACTAACGTTCATGGTGTGTCCAAAACATCCCGACGTTTAGAATAAGTGGTGGGATGGGGGAAGCAACCAAATGCATGTTTTCAAACTTTTGGCACGGTGGTCTTATTTGGTAAACTCGAACACCTTTACTTTATGATTCGAGTTGTCTCACGATTCTTTTTACTTTTGTTACATGAGTACGGAGTATACACGGGGTTTCAGACTCAACACGAATCGTGTTAAAAAGAGAAAACAACTACGGCTATTACTAAAAAGTAAAAGCTTATTCAAGCTCGATCAGATAATGTTTTCGGTTGGAACCCTCGTTCATAATATATATTTTTTCGGTTTATTGTTTGGATCAATAATTTCGTATTCTTTCATGGGTGATCAGACGCAATATTCTGGTGGGGGAACCGCATTGAGTATCTATAAATTGATTTCCTTATTCGCTTATTAAATACGTGATTTTTAGTTATTTTGTTTTTCAATCCAAGTTTGGTCCACAAACATATGTTGACAATTGACATACATTAATTGTTGTTTTTGTTTAAAACGTGTAACTTTATTGCTTCATGACCATATGATTTAAACCCAAGAGTTAAAAGTCGTTTCGTGTTTGGTTTGTGCTTTTATACTTGGTGTTTCGAAAATCAGTTTATAGAGATACAAATACGACAAGACGAGCATGAAGACCGAGTAGACATTATTGTCCTTTTTAAGCATTGGCAATCTGTCATGTGTTATGCATGCAGTTCTTGAACGATATTCTGTTACAACCAATATAGAAGGGACGCTAACATTACAAAATAATAGAATTTCGGATCAATAATAGAAACAAAAACAGACTTATTAAACCAAGATTACAAACCGACTATAAGACAATGAAATATGTGGTACCACATTTTAGTATATAGTGATACTATTGTCCTTTAGGGTTTAGCCCGTATATTGTTTAAGAAACATATATCACTGTTTCATAAATGTTACCATTTTACGATATTATTTTTGTTTCGAATATGTGAAAATATATGAAATCTTATTAAATTACTTTTTAAAAAAATTAAAAGAAAAAGTCAATTTTTGATTAAAACAAATGGTTTAAATCTAAGAGATTCTTATAAACTGGTCTAATGCACATGATATTGAAGCTTGAAGCTTGTGATTTCCATGGCAGGAAGAAGAAGACGATGAGGATGGATGGGTTGTACATCAATGTACAAGTGGATAATGCATGGAGTACCATTATTCATATCCTTTTGTATGGTACTGTTGGAAAATCGTTTGTCGATTAGGGGTAAATGAGGGGTGGAAACGGTGGGTCCCACACTGTCAACCCTGACCAGCAATGAAGTCATCAAACTCCATTCCTTGAAAAACTGTCTCTCTCCCTTTACCACCCTCCTCTTCCTCCTCCTCTCTCTCTCTCTCTCCCCGCCGTCGATTCTCTCCCCCCCTCCCACCGGCCACTCCACCCTCCATCTCCCTGGTCTCTTTCTCTCTCTCTCTCTCTCTCCCCTCCCTCCCACCGGCCACCACACCCTCCATCTCCCTGGTCTCTTTCTCTCTCTTTCTTATAAGTTGTAAAAATCTCTTCTTTAGCCAAACTCAGATACCCAACTCATCTCTCTCAAAACCTTTGAAACCCAGCTAGATTTACCCATTTTTTTGAAGAAACCCAGAAAATCGACATCTAATTGGGCCAAGATTTATTTGAGATTACAGAAATACGTATAAACATGCATTGATGAGCAGGGAAATGTGATAGTGGGGGTGGTGAATGAATGGGTTGTGTAATCTCTCATCTCAGTGCGAAATTCGCATTCTTTCCTCCTTCTCCCTCCACCTACCAGATCAAGAAACGAGAGGACGGTAAGCTAACGGCTATATACACATCCTCTTCCATGCCCCTGACGTCGGCTGCCGGAGGCGTTGATGACGGTTGCGGTGGCGGTGGTGGCTGTTCACTTGATGTGTGGTCGTTACGCACCAAAAGAGGCAACAAGATTGTAGCTTTTTATCTTAAAAACCCTTGTGCAAGACTCACTCTGCTGTATTCCCATGGCAACGCTGCTGATTTGGGTCAACTCTTTGACCTCTTTGTTCAACTCAAAGCCAATCTCAGAGTCAATCTAATGGGGTCCGTTTTTTCTCTTCTCAATTTCTCACCTAACTTTTTTAAAATTAGTGTTCCCCCAAATAGTAATACTAGCTTACGAAGTTGTTCTCTAGAGTGATGGACTTTTGTCTTTTTAACTATTGTGATCTTCTCTAGCTTTCTATGATCCCTGTTGCAATGGTTTTTTCTTGTTTTAATTTATTTTGAAGTTTTCATCTTTATATATGGATATATGTTTATATATGTGTGTGTGTGTGTGTGTGTGCTCTTTATGATTTTGTTATAGCTTGCTTTGATCCCTTTGTTTTTGGTGGTGTTTTAATTTCTTAAATAACAGATGTGACTAATTATTAATCTTTGAATGCCAAATCTCTATTTGCAGATTTTGTAATAACTGTATATCCTTAATAGGATTCTTTCTTTATTTACAGTTCTTCTTGTACTGTTTGATGTAGTTTCCAATACCAAAATGAAACATATCAGTATAGATTTTGAACCTAAAAGTAATTCGGTTGCCATCCAAAGTCGAAAACCCACAACTAAACAGCGAAAGAAGTGAGCTTTTTAACCTTTTTGGATCATGATGTTGATCTAATTTTACTTCCCATGCTCTGGATTTTGAATTCTTGGGGTTTTTTGATCTTAAGCGTGTATTTATTTTCTAACATTGATTTGAATTTGAATTTGGATTTGGATTTGGATTGGGATTGGTGTGGATGGCATAAATAGTTTGGTGTGTGAAGGATCCTTCTTCCATGGGATTGGTGAATGCACCCCTTTCCCCCTTTTCTGTCGAAGTTCTTGCTGCTCTCTTACTCTAGATGATGTATCAAAATTTAAAGATTCTATGGTTTGTTTCTTCAATGTAAAAGATCTTTACATGATTTCTAAGGTAGATATAGAGGAACGACTGCTTACATCTTACCCCCTCCAAACCCCACTTCATGAAGGATTACTGTGTTCGTTTGGTTTGGTTTATATAGATTTGTTCTAACTAGCAGAAATGAACTGTAAAACGAGTGGTGCCCTGCAACTATGTGGGGTTGTTTTCATGCTACCCGACTGGTTACCATTATATTTCATAGTTATAAAGCATATATCCACTTGAATTTTTTGGCTAGGTTGATTGTATCTTGTGGAGAAAAAGTGGGAAAAAAGAAAAGGTGAAAAGTGAAATTTCTCAACTTTTTTGTAGGGGTTTGTACCTTTATTTTCTTTGGTTCTTTGGCTATAAAGTGAACATTTTTCACTGATCAATTACCTGGAAAAAGGGTAAAAGAACCCATAAATTGATCATGGATCTTGATTATCTGCTGTTTGCTACATTTGCCAATTAGGGTTTTACCTTTTTTTGATCAAAGTGTTCGGTGTGGAATTTCGACAGTCATCTTTTTTTACTTTCACATAGTTCTTGGTTCTCTAGATTTCTACACTCGTTTAGTCATTTCATATGCAGTATTTCACTTCTGAAGACATGGCTTTTTCACAACTTTTGGGCTTGATTTAATTTGGACAAAAAATTTGTTTTGGTGGTTGGACTTTATGGGGTATTTGAGTACGATTTGATTTCTTTTTTGACTCGATGTTTGATATGATTATCGTTGTTCTTTTTTCTGTCTCGATTCTTTGACAGGTATGATTATTCGGGCTACGGAGCTTCTACCGGCAAGGTAAACCCGTCAACTTCATTGTCATTTTTTGCCTAATGCTTATGTCTAAACTACTTTACCGAAACCAAAAGAAGACACTACAACTAATGTGAGTCATAGTAAATAGTAATCAATTTTGAAAACCATTATGAACTTTGTAGTTTGTTCAAGTATAAGAAAATTTCAATTACCACGTTAGACTTCATAATATACAAACTAAACGTTTGTATCAACTCTTTACCAAAGTCCAAACCAAACAAACCCGGTATATCCTCCTCCAGGTGGGGTCTTGTAACAGGTGGGG